GCTGATGGCCGCGCTGAGGGCGGGGCGGGGTGCTGGCTGGAGCCTCCCAGCATGGCGGGCTTTGGGGGGCATTCGCTGGGGAACAGGACCCCTGTTGACCCTTGACCTCCGGGCTTTGCTGACGTCAGCAGCTTCGGCCCTCCAGGCCCGGAAGACGTGTGGGACCCCCAGTCCCCGGGCCCGACTGTCTGCAGGGGTTCCTGATCCCCGGGCATGTCTGCCGCCGGGGACCCGGGCTGCCCGGGCACAGTGGACCGCGGAGATCCCCGGTCCCGGGACCCGGGAGGCCTCGGGGACCCGTCTGCGCATGTGGCTGGCGGTGGCGCTGGGCGCTGGGGGGGCTGTGCTGCTGCTGTGGGGCGGGGGTCCCCCGGCGGTCTTCGCCGCCGTCTCTGGCCCGCCGCCCTACTCTCCCCGGAGCCGGTACAACTTCATTGCAGACGTGGTAGAGAAGACCGCACCGGCCGTGGTGTATATCGAGATCCTGGGCCGGTAACGGCGGGGTAGCCCGGGAGGCCTCGGAGCCGTGGGCCGGAGGGTCAGAGCCTCCAGACACCCTTTCCCCCTCTCCAGACACCCTTTCTCGAGCCGCGAGGTCCCCATCTCAAATGGCTCAGGATTCGTGGTGGCCGCGGATGGACTGATCGTAACCAATGCCCACGTGGTGGCTAACCGGCGCCATGTCCGTGTGAGGCTGCCCAGCGGCGACACGTATGAAGCCGTGGTCACAGCTGTGGATCCTGTGGCTGACATCGCTACCCTGAGGATTCAGACCAAGGTGGGGGTCAAGGTAGGCCCGGGCTGACTGAGCTGGGAGTTAGCGCCCATCCCCAGCTAACAGGTGTCGTGCCTTCTTCACTCTGCCCTAGGAACCTCTCCCCACACTGCCTCTGGGACGCTCGGCCGACGTTCGGCAAGGGGAGTTTGTTGTTGCCATGGGAAGTCCCTTTGCCTTGCAGAACACTATCACCTCCGGCATTGTCAGCTCCGCCCAGCGCCCAGCCAGAGACTTGGGATTACCGCAAACCAACGTGGAATACATCCAGACTGATGCCGCTATCGATGTGCGTTCCTGTGGCCAGCGGGGAAAGGGGCGGGAGGGAGGCTGTGTGGTGCAGACAGACACCTGCTCAGCTGGGACACGTGGTGGGCGGGCTGTAAAGAGTTATGTAAACCAGGGAGAGGGGAGCATTTGGAGAGTGTCTACACCCTAGTTCTGCCTCGGGACCCCAGCATTTCTTCCATGTTCTCTCCTTGTCCTACAGTTTGGGAACTCTGGAGGCCCTCTGGTTAACCTGGTGAGTGGGAGCTCTTCTAAGGATCCTGGCCCTAGGTCTTTGTAGGAAGGGCGGATCTTCCCTATTTCTGGGAGGTTTGGTCAGGTTTCTGAGCAGTCTCTTGTTGGCTATTTCCCACCGCCCTGCCAGATCTCCCTAACACACCCTGCTACTCTTGTTCAGGTTCCCCCATCCCCTACTGTTTGTTTGGGCTAGGGGACAGGGGCCTGTGTCCCTGCAGGATGGGGAGGTGATCGGGGTGAACACCATGAAGGTCACAGCTGGAATCTCCTTCGCCATCCCATCTGATCGCCTTCGGGAGTTTCTGCACCGTGGGGAGAAGAAGAGTGAGCCTGATCTAAGGGAGAAGGGTGCTTCTCTAAGTGCTGGGTGGGGAATACAGGAGGGGCCTTCCCTGGGACTTGTTGGGAGAGGGACCTACTGGGAGGAGTGGAGGAGAGAGGAAGGGTGCAGCTAGGTGGGACTCGTTTGTTCCTCTTTAATAGATTCCTGGTTTGGAGGCAGTGGGTCCCAGCGCCGATACATTGGGGTGATGATGCTGACTCTGACTCCCAGGTACGAGAGAGTGTCAGGGGTAGTGACAAGTGGGGCTACCGGTGGGGAACTGACCCCTCGGTTGGGTTTTGTTCTCTCTTTGAAGCCACCTCATACTTGGTGCGGTAAGAACAGCTACTCCCGATCCTCACCTTGACTCTCACCCCACTGCATTACGCACACCTGCGGTCAGATTGACTTTCTCCTGTTACTGCTGTGACTCATGGTCTTCAGCCCACTGACATAGTCAGTGGTCTCTAACTCAGCCTCAAGGCATGCCTCCTGCATCAGTCTGATTTCCTACTGGTTTTGCATACCGCACATACTCTAGTATAAGCTGACCCAAATATCTGCCGAGGCACCTAATTTCACCACAAAAACTGCATTAAAAGTGTGCTGAAAAGCTTGGCTTAAAGTTGAGTACATACAGTACGCTGTTGTTGGTGTGGTCTCCTGTCAGACCCATCTGAGCATAAGTTCTACTGCCTCCTCTCGCAAGACTCTAGGCAGACATTCTCACCGCTGACTTAGCACGGGGGTCCTTTGGAATTAGTTCACGTGCATGCACAGGTTCCCGTCTATCTGCTAGAAGACAGAGGCGAATGAGTGGCTTTTGTGGTTGTAGGACCTAGCACATGCCCTGTCCACAGAGTTGTCAGTGAGTGAGAGAACTGAGCGAGCGAGGTGAGCACGAGAGGGTGGCTAACGTGGCGCTCTGTGGACTTTCAGCATCCTTGCTGAACTACAGCTTCGAGAACCAAGCTTCCCTGATGTTCAGCACGGCGTGCTCATCCATAAAGTCATCCTGGGCTCCCCTGCACACCGGTGAGGGTGAAAGTGCACCTTTGGGATGGTGGGTGCATGTGTACGTCTGTGAAGGCCAGTTGTACACACTTTGCTCACTTTGCCCTCCTCCCTAGGGCTGGTCTGCGGCCGGGTGACGTGATCTTGGCTATTGGGGAGCAGCTGGTTCAAAATGCCGAAGACGTCTACGAAGCTGTTCGAACCCAATCCCAGCTGGCTGTGCGGATCCGGCGGGGGCCAGAGACACTGACCTTGTACGTGACTCCTGAAGTCACAGAATGAACCAATCAGCAAGCCCTCGAGCCTGCAGCTTTGCCTGCCTCCCTGGCCTGGCTCCTCAGGCCTGTCAGCCAGCAGAGGACGGAATGAACCTGTGGGGGCAGGTCCCTCCACCAGGACCAGTCTCTGGGTTCTGAAGACACAAAAAAACTTTTTATATAAAATAAAAATCATACCTAGCGAGCGACATGTTATAGTCAAAACAAGGGGAGAGGGCTGGATTTCCCACCTTCCCCCCACCAGAAGGCTAGAGGTAAGGCTGTATCCCCATCAGAGGGGAGACACTGGGGCTAGCCGTACTGACCCCCCTAGTCAAGATCACTAGCCGCTGCCAGCTGTCCTGTGGGCAGTTCCTTAGGGGCTGGCTGGGGCCGGGCACACTGCCTGTTGGCCGAAGTGGACGTTGAGATTCTCTGCTGGACCGTTCCACATCCACTGCGCCCAGCTCGGGGAGTGCCGTGAGCCTGCTGCCTTCGGGTTCCTGGACAAGCTTGTGAGGTCATGCGGCTGCAGGTCCTGGCTCTTGGGCCAGTGGTGGTTTGCAGAGGAGGGTGGTGGCACTTTAGATGATCTGGTTGTTGGTCTGGCCTGGGTAGCGTTCGAATCTCCTGTTGGCCTCTTCACTGAAGGCATCCCCTGCAGAGTGAATAGGTGGTGTGGGCAGACCGACAGATCGTGGGGCACGGGGCAGGCCCAAGTCGAGAGACTGAGAGGTCCAGGGGGAGATGGGAGGACAAGACAACCCTCCCCCTGCCCCCTCTGAGTTCCCCATCAGATACCGATGTGGCAGTTGTGCACCCAGATGCGGTGACCGTCATATTTGCAGTTACATTTCATCGCGTTGTTGGTGAAGTCACTCTCTGCCACCTCGAAATTTGGGTTGATGACCACCTGCGAGTGGGAGAAAGGCAGCCCCCCAGCTGTGGTCTTCCAATCCAAAGGGTCCCCAGCACCCCTCCCGCTTGTCACCCGGCCAGCTCACAGACCCAGGCACCTGTAGAATGTAGTTTCCTGGCTTGACGTCGGTGATGTCAATCCACTGGCAGTCGATGTCATGTCGGTAGAGGTCCCAGCAACCCACAGTGATGCCCTGCTCGCCAAAGTTGGCGCACTCGTACCTCTTGGAGACATCTGATGGGGCGGCATGAGTCAAGAGAGAGGGCAGGCTGTGGGGCGGCGACCCTGGCGGAGCTCAGGCCCCCACTCACCCTCCTGGCACTCAGTGTCCTCGAGGCAGAAGCTCGCTTTGTGGCCTTCAGCCACCTTGGTGCCGTTGGGGGTCAGAATGTCGTAGTGTGTGAAGATGTCCATGCTGTGGTAATGCCTGTGGGGAGGACGAGAGCATGGTTTCCTTCCTGGCCCACGGCCAGCCCACCTGTGCCCTGGGCCCTTCTACTTGAGCCCTGCCCTCACCCATGGCACTCATGCCACACCCAGGAGTGGCGCCCGGCCTTGGGCCTGAAGTCGGCCCGGCCCACGTTGTGGATCTGGGAGGAGAAGCGGAGCAGGCGCCGGTGGCCGTAGGGCCAGTTGGCCGTGCGGGCCGAGCTGGCCAGGCAGTTCTCCTCGGCAGCGCAGTACAGCATGTGCAGGGGCCGGTCCTCGATGTAGGCTGTCTCCTGCACCAGGGCCGCGTGCAGCAGTAGATCGGAGGCCGCTGCCCCAGGGAGAGGAGGCGCATGTTAGCGAGCACTGCCCAGGAGCAGGTCTGGAGGGCTGCCCCCCAAGTGTGTGAGATGGAATTGTCCCCGGAGAAGGTGTCCTGTCCCAGGTTTCAGCCCCTTCCATCTGTCCGTCCTTCCCAAGGGCTGGCTCAGCCTCCCTCCCTGGTTTGCGGGCCCTCCCCGGCACTCACTCTCAGAGCAGATCACTCCAGCAGTAAAGCGGGTCTCTGCCCTCTTGCAAGTGACGTGGGCACCGTGATGGGCACATTGGTCCAGGGACAGCTCGGTGCCTGTGCAGCGCACGCCACTCATCACCACCTCAGTGACGTTCCCTGAGTCCCAGTACCAGGTCTCCTGGTGGCGCAGGTGTTTCCTTGAGAAACCAGGAGCCAGCCTCCTAGGCCCAGGGCTCATCTCTACAGGCCTCCGCCCCAAACATAGGTTTGGGAGCCAGCAGCCTTGGCTCCCTGCTTCCTACTCACCTGCAGGCCGTGGTTGGCGTAGCCCAAGCCGAGCTGCCTACAGGCCACCATGGCCTCCAGTGTCCCCCAGTTGTCCCCACAGATGAGGCCCCAGCGAGGGGACCCAGGGCCTCCGACGTGCACCTCGACTCGGCCCTCATAGCGGCTGCGGCCCCCGCTGAGACGGATCTGGGGTAGCAGAATGGGGGTGCAAGGAGGGAAGCTATGGGGTGAGTGGTGGAGCCCGGCAGGGGCTGCAGGCGGGGTGGCTGGCGGGCGGGTCAGACTGGCCGACACCAAGGCCGGCTGGGTGGGCAGTGGCCACCTGGGCTGAGAAGGGTGGCGAGACTGACCTTGGCCTCTACCCCAGTGTAGGGCAGGTTGCATCGCACGCCGGCATCCTGGCTGTGGGTGCAGTCCTCGGCAGTGATGTTCCTGTGGGGGCACTTCCAGAGGGAAGGCTCCTGCCCAGAGCACCGCACCTCGCTCAAGTGGATGGCACCCATGCCTAGGGCAGGACAGCAACCCTCAGGAGGATCACGCCCTGCCGGGGTGAACTGGCCCGTCCCCCGCCCCAGGGGAGGGGGCATACCTCCTCCTCCTGGCCCTCCCCCCCACTGCCATTCGCCCTCACCCTGCCCCATGCGGGCTCCACTCAGCGCCTCTCGAGCACTCCCGAAGCCCAGCTCCCGACACACCACACTGGCTGCCTGGAGGTCCCACTTGCGGTCACAGACTGTGCCCCACGTGCCAGACTTCAGGACTTCTACCCGGCCCTCTCCGGGGTGGGAGCCACCCTTCAGGCGCACACGGGCCTGCGGAGGAGGGAGAGGTGCCCAGAGCAGTGACTGGAAATAGCAGTGCCACCCAGGGGCTCCGCCTACCTGGGTGCCACAGGAGTTTGTTTGGGTGGGGGGAGGGCAGGTGTCAGGCCTGCGCGCACCCCCACCCCCACCCCAGGGTTGCTCTCTGATGCAGTGATGTCAGGACTCAGGGCTGTGCTGTGCAAAGGCAGGGCCAGGCTAGGGGCTCCTTCACCTGGGCTGGCCAAGCCCAGAGTCACTGTCACACACCTCCTCCGGAGACTTCCGTGGCGGCGGCTTCTTCTGGCCACTGGATACCGTGTAGAGAGGGCCTGGCACACAGCTCACCACCGCAGGGGACCCCCCAGGGCACCTGATGGTGTCATTGGTGCGGTAGAACTCCAGGGAGCAGAGGGAGAGGTGGGCCTCTGTGCCCACACAGGCCACCCCGTGCAGACCAAACGAGTGTTGCTGCCGCTGAGAAAGTAGTCTGGGGGGGTGGGGGGGGAAGCAGTGGGAGGGGCAGTAGAGTCAAAGAATGCTCCTCTTCTTGGCCCACAAGCCTCCCCCCATTCCATTTCTCCCCACCCCCCACCTCTCGTGACCACTCTCCCTGTCCCTCCTCCTCTAAGTTTCCCTCCGAAGAGACAATGGAAACGCCTAGTCTCTGAGCTAAAAGAACCGCCGGCTGCCCAGCCTGGGCTTCCCCCTTGGCGACAGAGGAGCCCTGCGGGAAGGGTGGCTGGTCCATGGGCCTGTGGAGACCGTGTCCCCAACGTTTCCGGCTGCCGGCCCTGACGGGTAAGGCAAGGGGGGCTGGAGCTGCCGGCCCCCCAAGCTTGCCAGCAGAGTGGCTGACACAAACAGGAAGCCCGAGTCGCCAGTGAAGCCCGGACCGGGAGCGAATCTGGCATCTAGATGCTTCGCCCAGGAGGCCCGCGCACGAGACAGGCGGAGGGAGCGGCCGGCCGCGGGCAGGAAGCGACCGGAGCAGGAGCAGCACGGCAGGGCAGACCCAGTCCGGAGAGGGAGGGCCGCGGGATAGCACGATGACCGCTCCGCCCGCAGGCCCGAGCCCAGCCAGGTCTTCCTCTCGGTCAGCGCGCACCCATCGCAGAAAGAACTTCCCGTTCACCACCGGAGCAGGAAAACGGCGCGGATACAGCGATGTCACCGCTTGGGAATGCCGCGAAGAGGCCTTGCTTATCAACACCAGCAGAACAAGAGGTTGCAGGGGGTCTACGGATGGGGGATTCCATCCTCAGAATGGTGGCGGGCTCACGAGGCGGACTTTGTGGGGAACCATGGCGAGATGCACCCATCACTTCGTGGGGGGGGGGGAGGACGGAGGGCGATGAGGACTTCAAGCCACTGGCTAGGGAGACTTTGGTGAAGGAAACGGCTGGGCAGAGCCGGGAGCCCTTCCAGAATATCTTTGCAGAAGCTCAGGAGGGATGGGCTCTGAAGAGCAAGGGAATGAGGGGCTCTTCCAGGTCCTGTTTGGCTGAGAGTCAAAGTCCGAGGCCACCCCAGGAAAGGGGCATGCAGTGTGCACATGAATGGAGGAGGGCCATGTTCGGGAAAGATGCCCATGAACTTGAAGTGCACTGAGAGAACCCCCAAACCCAGAGCTCCTTTGAAAGCGCCTGAGGAGAAGACCGGAGGATGAGGGACACAGGAGATGGCTGGGTGCCCCTGAAACATGCCGAGAAGACAAATTCGCGGAGAAACCCCGGTCACTGCTGAAGAAGTCCCCAGGAGACGCTGCAGGTGACAGCTGCCCTGCGATGTCATGCCAGAGGCACCACCCGGTGAGAAGCCTGCCTCCCACTCCCTGAGTTCTGAAGGACCCTTAGGGAATGGAGAGGCGAATTGTGTCGTTGGGCAGAGAGGCAGGGTGCCACCGCCAGTGGGGTTCCGAAGGGGGCTCTGAGTTTCACCTCCGTCTCAGTACACTGGCAGCACTTACTTCAACACAGCCAATAAGGGGAGGGTGCGACACTGACCCCTAGAGCAGTGTCCTCAACCTTCCCCATGCCGCGACCCTTCCACACAGTTCCTCATGTGGTGCTGACCCCCGAGGCATGCAATTATTTTCATTGCTACTTCATTACTGTTGTTTTGCTACTGTTATGAATTGGGCGACCCCTGTGAAAGGGTTGTTTGACCCCCAAAGGGGTCGCGACCTATAGGTTGAGAACCACTGCATTAGGCAGACCTGGCCGCTTGGAGTGGAGGCAGGCCAGACATCTGAAGGAGAAACATGGCAGAAGACCTACTAGAGTTCACTGTGGGACGAGAGAGGCTCACATGGAATAAGGGCAGTCCGTGGATGTGTGTGTGTGGTGTGCGAGTCTGTATGGTGTGTATAGTGTGGTGTGTGTGTGTATGCTGTGTGTATGGTGTGGTGTGTGTGGGGGTGTGTGTGGGTGTGTGTATGGTGTGGTGTGTATATGCTGTGTGTGTGTGCTGTGTGTATGATGTGGTATGGTGTGTGTGTGTGTGTGTGTATGTATGCTGTGTGTATAGTGTATATGGTGTGTGTATGTGTGATTAAATCTGGAACAAACATCTCCCCAGAGTGGAACCTAGGGGTCAGCATGACTCAATGTTTCCGTAAATGAGCTGGAAGTTGACCAGTGACAGCGGTGCCCTCCCCTCTGTTGGACCCACTCCCGGGCACACGGTAGCATCCCCCAACCTCACAGTTCAGCGCCGCCATCGCCATCTCGCCCCCCGCTGCCCAGCAAGAACTCAATTTACCTCTTGATTGGCCCCCTGCCTGCTCGGGGTTTGGGTTTGACTTTTAGCTTGGTGGCTGGTCTGGAAAAAGCAGAAACACGTTGATGGGAGAGGGGTGAAGCAGGCGGGTCAGGCAGGGTGGAAGGCTGTGTTGTGGAAAACACCATCCTGTCATCCAGAGGGCATGAGGGGTGGGGGGTGGGAGGGATGCAGGCAGGTGAGGAGTTGGAGGAAGGCGCCGGAATGCATGCGGGTGGCTGAGAGCCGAGTCCACCATGAGCATAGACGCCTCTCCTCAGCCTTCCCTACAGTCCTGCCGCCTTGAGCTCCCGAAGAGCAAAGTCCAAGCCCATCCCAGGTCCTACCCCCCTGTCCCTGCCCCCCTGGGGTGACCCCTCCCAGGCCGGATCCCGACCTCCTCAGTTTGGGTTCTGGGATGGACGTGGACAGGCTACCATCCATCCATCCACCTCCTGAGGCCACAGGGCGAGCAGGAGGCCCCGGGGCTCTTGCCCATTACCTTCCCAGGGGCTTGGGGTGTCGGGCTCGGGCCGCTCTCTTCCCCAACTTTCTGTGAGGATAGAGAACAGTAGAATCAGGATCCGCCTGGACCCAAGGTGGGAAAGGACACAGGGCGGAGTTCTTTCCCAGCAGCCTGAAGGGCTCTGGCGGACAGGATACGATCATATCAGATACTGTAAGGCCCCACCCCTCACAGACCCTGTACCAGACTCACAGAAAGCAGGCCACGGGCGGATGAAAAGAAGGAAGGACTCCTGGGCCCAGTATTCCCGATGAGTCTACACTTTAGAGGGTGGGAGGAGCCTGGGGGAGGGCGGTTAAGATTGTGAGGAGGGCCAGACTGTCAATCTAGCAGAGAGAACTAGCCTGGCCAAGACCAGAAGGCTGAGCGCATCTTTGGTTCCGGGGAGGTCCTCTAGCTTCCTGGTATTGTCGAGGCCTGAGGGAGTGGCTCAGGACCAGGGGCCAAGGTTGTCTTCCCCAGGAATGAGACTGTTACCTTGGTTTAACAAGGGAGCCTGCTTGGGATGACAGCACCCCTTGCTCTGATGTGGTGATTCATAGACTATGCTAATTTCCCATAATTACTTCCAGGGAAAGAGATTCTAAAGCTGTCAATCTTTTTAACTGGCCTACACAAATCAACCGAGTTCAAGAGGATGCTGTTAAGGCCAGTGTCTCCATCTTCAGTCTGTTTCTCTGGTCATTCTCCTTGTAATTTTGAAGACTTTAATTAAGTACGGCCCTTTGTCCTGTCAACTCTTTCTAGCCAGCTGCAGAGCTCACCTGGCCATTTGTACAATTTTATGGAAGGCCTTGCTATCCTTTTAGCGATTCTTTTTCTTTGTACACAGTCCTGCTCTGTTTTCTCTTGAGGATTAAGATCTTCAGAGTATATAGTATCCTGTGTGCAGATGCACTAACACACACACACACACACACACACACACACACACACACGTCACATTGCTTGGTATTTCCTGCCCTGACTTCTTCCTGAGGATGTATTTTGTGCATATAGTTGGCCTTTTTGCCAAAATATCCACTATGGTCCACATTCTAGCAAAGGGTCTCCAATCACCCCGGGCCCATTTCCTGAGACAGCACTGAGAGTGGGGACCTTTCTTCTTATACAGACAGTGTAAAACTTCCTCTCCAAATGCCTTTTATTCAGACGTGCCTGACGAGAAATATACTTGGCACGCTCTGTCCCCAGCGAGGCCAGAAAGACCATCTGGATCTCTAGAGAAGTCGTCAAAAGAACGTCATCAGATTATCTGGAAATGTAGATGTCCCTCTTCTCTAAGTCACTTGAAGGCTCTCAATTTACACGTCTTCATTCACAGCCTGGCTCACCTTCCCCTCCCACTTGTGCCTCCAACCATCGGACGAAAACTGACCTCCCTCGGCACATCCTGCGGGCTCCTTCCTTCGACCTAAGGCCATCCCTCTCTCTCTCTCTCTCTCTCTCTCTCTCTCTCTCTCTCATATACAACATCTCCTTCTTGATACAATAATTTTCAAACACCCCCCACCACCTCCAAAAACAAACCAAACTCATTGCCAAATGAGTCTACTTTGACTCTTAGTGACTCCGTAGACAGAGCAGAACCATGCCTGTGGGCTTCCAAGACGGCGACGCTACAGGAGTCGACAGGCTCGTCTTTGAGGCAGGTTCAAATCCTTCCTAGAGCCCTCTCTCTCTCTCTCTCTCTCTCTCTCTCTCTCTCACACACACACACACACACACACACACACACACACACACTCATCTCACATTGCTTTTCCTTTTCACAGCAGCGTTTCCAAAGGCAGTGTCGGCACCTCCATCTCCATACCCTCTCCTCCCAGGCCCGCCCCGCCCCGTCCCTTTACACTAGGCTGATGCATTGCAAGGGAGACATGACAGTCCTCTCTCACAGACCTCTCAGAGCCGGGAACCTGCTGTCGCCCTGGTCTCCTTCCCTGCTCTCGGCATTCCCGTTTGGGGAGGGAGCTCGGGCTCAGGCGTCCTCCTCTCGCACACCCCTGGGCTGGACATTGTCTCCTTTACATCCCCCAGAAGCCTGAGCAGAGGCCTCGACACGTTCTCCTTCCTCCGCTTTCCACAGCAGTCTCTACCTGAGGCCGGTGGTGTCCATTAGGCTTCCCTGCTGTCTTCAGACTGACCCATTCGCTCTGGCCATTCTCCCACCCGCAGCCCCAGGAAAGCACCACAAGGGTTTCCCGGTTCTTTGAAGATAAAGACCCAGATCCTCAGCAGGATCTGTAAGGCCTGATGGGATCTGGTGCCCAAATTGCCTGGCCCATCATTTACACGTCTTTGTGTTCTCCACCCCTTGCCGGGTGCTGGGCAGGCCATTGGGAGTTCTAGAATGAGCTGTCAAGCTAGAAGCGTGAATTCTGAAATAGCCCTTAAGCTCCCAGAGCCTCCATTTCCTTAGCTGCAAAAGAGCAGTAGAGCAAATGGCTCGATGATCTGTCCAGTACTTTCTTTACCTAAAACTCTAGATTGTGGAACCAGCCAAACAGCTTTTAACATGGTGACTATAGTGGGCCCTGCTTTGCTCAGCCCTGTAGCTCTGACTTCCCCTCAAAGTTGCCCGATGTGTTGTTCTTTCTCTAGGTAGACCTGTTCCTATCATGCCACCGTCCTTTTGATTTTTATAACCTCTGAGAATGCCCCTACGGTAAGGTGACCAGATGTTAACATTGATAAAGCGGGACACCATTGATAAAACTCATATCCTGGCGAAACAGCCACATGGCAGCCGAAAACCGTATACCCAACTTGTCGTGCATTCTTTCCAAAAATTGGGACTTTTTAAAAACACCGTAGGATGTGGGAAAAATTGTTAAAAATCGGGACTGTCCTGCCCAAAGTGTGACGTCTGGTCACCTTACCCTATGGACTAAGCTGACCTGTGAAAGAAGATCAAGAACATATTCCATCACAGACTCTCCCCCCGGCCACGCCCCAAACAACAACAACAAACAACCACACATAAAGAGACCTGTACTGCCATTGAGTTGATGCCCACGCTCTAGGACCCCATAGGACAGGGTAGAACTGCCCTTGTGGATTTCTGAGACTGTCACTTGTTAAGGAAGCAGAAAGCCTCTTCCAGGAACCGCTGGTGGTTTCAAATTGCTGACTAGGCTCCTAGGACCCCCAGCACCCCACCCCCCCCAACGCACACACTAAGAATGACCACGATACTGTAATACAATACAGTGGACCTGTGAGAACAGCAACTGGATGATCTCTTCACAGCTGCTGCCACGAGCACTGATTGTGGAGCCACGCCAGATAATATCCTTGATAACTTCCACCTTTTCTCCATTTAGCATAAGGTTACTTATTGGTCCGATTGTGAGGGTTTTAGTCTTCCTTACATGGAGTTGTAACCCATGCTGAAGGCTGCAATCCTGGATCTTCATCAGCAAGTGCTTCAAGTCCTCCTCACTTTCAGCAAGCAAGGTTGTGTCACCTGCATGCCGCACATTGTTAAGCCTTCCTCCAACCCTGACGCCATATTCTGCTTCATATAATCCGGTTTCTCTGATGATTTGCTCAGCATTTAGATTGAACAAGTAGGGTGAGAGGATACAATCCTGACACACACCTTTCCTGATATTAAACCGTGCAGTATGCCCTTTGTTCTGTCCCACAACTGTCTCTTGATCCAAGCATAGGTTCTAGAACACTTTCTTGTTAATGAATTCCCCTTCTTCTCTAGGTTAGTCATAGTTCATTATGGTCCCTACAGTGCAATGCCTCTGCATAGTCAACGAAACACAAACAAACATCTTTCTGGTAGTCTCTGCTTTGAGCCAAGATCCATCCGACATCAGCAATGCTATCCCTTGTTCCACGTCCTCTTCTGAATCCAGCCTGAACTTCTGACAGCTCCCTGTCAATGAACTGCTGCAAACGTTGTTGGATGATCTTAAGCAAAATTTAACTTGTGTCCAATACCAATGATAACCTTCTACAGTTTGAGTGTTCTCTTGGGTCACTTTTCTTTCGAATGGGCCAGGGAGCTGTCTTCCAAATTTCCTGGCACAGTTGAGTGAGGAATTCCAGTGCGTCTTCAGCTTTCTGAAACATTTCAATAGGTATTTCTTTGATGCCTGGAGTCTTGTTTTAGGCTACTATGTGGTTTGAACTTTTTCCTTCAGTGCCCTTGGTTCTTGCTCATATGCTACCTCTGGAAATGGGAGACTGTCAACTAGGTATTCTGTGTATTCTTTCCATCTTCCCTTGAAGCTTCCTGCACCATTCAATATTTTGCACAGAGAAACTTTCCAAATTGTAATTTGGGGCTTGAGTTTCTCTCAAGTTCTGTCAGTTTCTGATTTGCAGAGTGCATTTTGTTTTTTCCTAATTCTAGAACTTTGCACATTTTGTTATAATATTTGGCTTTGTCTTCTCAAATTGCCCTTTGAAATGTTCTATTCAGCTCCTTGATTTCATCCTTTCTTCCTCTTGATTTAGCTACTCCATGAGTAAGAGCAAGCTTCAGAGTCTCTTCTGACATCCACTTTGATCTTCTTTCTTTCCTGTCTTTTAAATGACCTTGGCTTCCTTCAGAAAGGATGCTCTTGATGTCCTCCCATGGCTCATCAGGTCTTCTGTCATTAGTATTCAATGCCCACATCTGTTCTTGAAATTCAGGTGGGATAGACTCACGGTCGTATTTTGACTCCTGTGGACTTGTTTTAATTTTCTTCAGCTTTACATATGAACTTACATATGAGTAACTGATAATCTGTTTCATAGTTGGTCTCTGGTCTGGGCTTAGCTGCTGATATTGAGCTTCTTCATCATGCTGATTTATGGTGACCCTATAGTACTGACTGCGCCTGTGAGTTTCTGAGACTGTAACTCTCTACGGAATTAGAAAGGCCTGTCTCAATCCCTCAGAGTGGCTGGTGGTTTTGAACTGCTAACCTTGCCATTAGTAGTCCAATGCTTCACCACTATACTGCCAGGGGTCTGTATAGAGTCACAGTGAGTCAGCAGAAATTCAACAGCAGCGGGTTTGGTTTTAATTTTCTCCCAAGTCACCCTCCATCCATCCATTCCTCTTCTCTGCTGCCACTCTCCTAATCAACTTCACCTTTATAAAAAACTCGACTGATGTCACTGCACTGCAAATGCTCCCAACACGTCACCATCACCTTTCCCTTTCTTTACTTGGCTTTCAGGAGACACTAACCACTGAAATGGTCTGCCTGCCTCCACCTGTCCCCTACCACACAGTAACAAAGCAGGCAGAGCCCCCCCTTTAACCATGGAAGTCAGAGGTCAGGCTTCTGTTCCCAGCCTGAGTTTCCTTTATCTCAAAGAGAGTAAAAGGCAAAGTCTCTACACCATCTGCTTCCCCATTCTTTCCCCATCACCTCCCATCAGCCCCCTCCCCCATGCTCCCCTGCTCACCCAGCTCCAGCTACAATGGCTTCAAGGAGTAGGACAAGAATGCCTTATCCCAAGAGGTCTTCATTTAGGATCCCTCTTAATGGAAATTCTTGCCTAGATGCCCGAATAGCTTGCCCCCATCTTATTTAACTCTTTTATCAAGTGACATCTCCTCAGAAAGGCCTCGGCTGATCACGCTACTAAAAAGCAATGTTCTACAGCTTACTTTGGTGAGTAGCAACTGGGATCTTACAAGGTCATAAGCAGCCATCCAAGGTGCAACTATTGGTCTCTCTCTGTCCTCAAGAAAGACACATGATGAAAGCAGAGGGCACATGGAAGCAATTAATCCAATGGGCGGAGGGACCCAGCCAACATCAGTCACCATGGCCCTGAGGCCAGAGGAACTAGATGGTGCCCAGCCAACACTGCCAACTGCTCTGAAAGGAATCCCATAAGGTCCTGCATAGAGTGGCACAAAACTCCGAATTTTAAAACACGTTTACTGGTCAGAGAGTAACTGGGAGACCTCTCAAAACTATGGCCCAGAATTACTCTTCTGACTTGGATATGAACTCAATTTCCAGCCAAACAATAGACAGGCTACAAGGGGAACAGTCACGTTAGTGGGTGGACACACCTCAGAGTAACCAACCACCTGCAGTGATCAGAGGAGCAGCACTTACCCAAGACAAGGTTCTGCAGGGTTTGGGAAGCAGGAGGATTGAAAACAGGGAGCACAGGGAGGGACTAATGCTATCGGGAGGGAATAGCAATGAATGATGCATGAAAAACGCATGACTTATTGAATGGAACACTAATGATCTGCTCTGTAAACCTTCGCCCAATTCACACACACACACACACACACACACACACACACACACACACACGAAAAACAAACTGTAGTCCTCTCTATTTCCTAACCTCCTTTCTGCTTGATCTTTATCCAGTGCACTCCTTCTATCACCATTGTGTCATTTTACTACTTTATCTTCTTCATAGTCTGCTTCTCTGGTCCGTGAGTTCGGGGACTCACCTCACCGGTGAGTTCTCTAGTGTCTGCAGAAATGACTGGCATGTACTCGGCACTCAGTGAGCAATGAAATGAATGAACAGCTGCACCTTTGTGCGAGAGGAGGAGCAGCGCTTCTGCTCCGTAAAGGCTTACGGCTCGGAAACGCACAGGGGCGGTTCTACTCCGTCCTATAGGGTCTCCGAGACTTGGAAGCGATGGGAGCTTCAGCTGCACCTTTGTCAACGTGGTTTCCGTCACTGGGAATGCTCACTGTATTTCAAATCAGCACAGAGGAATACAGCCGAGACAGATGGCGGCGAAGGAGCACATGATTGCTGGAAAGCAGTTTGTGCGGTTAGACTGGGTAAAGTTTGTTCCTTTGGGACAGAAAGGGCTTTTAGATGTGTCTCGGGCCTTCCAAAAGAGAGACGAAGGATTCCAATGTGCAGATAAGAAAGTTATACTCTGAAATATGTTACTAAACAGAAAGTTTGTGGAACTTAGGGAAAATGATAATCCTTAGAACCCTCAAAGGATACTAAAAAGAAGCTCAGCCAAATCACCACTCTTTCAGGGTTTGCCAGGAGTAGTAGCCGGAAGGCCAGGGAGGGTGAGGAAGGAAGCACATATGGATGTTAGCCACGCCGTAGCAGCAGCTCCCACGCGTCACTGTAGGTGAGATGGGGACATGTGCTACATCGTTGTGCTTCCCACTGGTACACACACACGTATTTTCCAGCTGCTGATGAAGAGATTTGATGTAAATCTAGAAGAAAAGCTTTACAAAACAAGCTACGTTTCCGTTTTAAATATTCCGGCCATTTTAACAGTGACTTTAAGGGCGCCAGCAGGCACGGTTAAGTCAGTGGAGCCGAGGAAAGAGGCAATGGCGGCAGAAGCAAGACCAGGTCCGGTTCCAAACAGGACTCTGTCTCCAGATCAAGAGCAGGGGAGGGTCTCACGTGGTCGAAGGTCATCACAAGTTCCTCTGAGCAGCACGGTGCTGCCTCCACAGAAAGGCAATGCCAGTGCCAGCCACACACCAACCAACGGAGAGCCTTTCCCCTGTGCTATGCCCTGGCCAAACACACACTGCACCGGGCAAATCTGCCGCACAAGATCTCTTCCAAGTGTTGAAAAGCGAAGAGGTTGCTTTAAGGACTCAAGGGCTCCTGACCCAAGCCAGAGTATCTTCAGTGGACTCAGCATGCAAGTGAAAGTTGGACATTGAGGAGGAAGACCAGAGAAAAATGGAAGCATTTGAACTGCAGTGCTGGCTAAGAGTAATGAAAGTACCATAACTGCCAAAAGGACAAACAAGTCTGTCTGGGAAGAAGCACAGCCAGGATGCTTCTTGCAGGCCAGGATGGGGAGACTTGGTCTCACGTACTTCGGACGTGTGGTCAGGAGAGACCCGTCCCTGGAGAAGGACGTCCTGCTTGGTCAAGCAGAGGGGCAGCGAGACAGAGGAAGGCCCTGGACACGATGGATGGACACAGTGGCTGCAGCGATGGGCTCCAGCCTAAGAACGACGGTCAGGACGGCACAGCACTGGGCGGTGTTTCATTCTGTTGTACACAGGCTCACTATGAGTCGGAACCAACTGGATGACACACAACAACAACAACAATTGCCGTAATCGGGCCACAGCTGGGGGAGCACATCAATGTCAAGAGGTCTTTCCTATCACAGAGGTCTAGTTAGGAAAGTCTGAAGAATCTAAGCATTCTTAGCATGCAGAATGGAAGTTGACAGGCAGGGTAAAGATTTCCGAATATCTGCCTGGCTCTCAAAGGCTCATGGGGCCTTGAGATCACCAAGTTAGGACGCACAGGAGAGCAAGACATTGGGTGCACAGCACCGTCCAGCACAGTGATCCGTAGCTGGAAGGTGGCTGTGCACCAGAGCAGGGTCTGGGGCATTCTGGAAGAAACTGCCAGGGGCCTGCTGGGGCTCACAACCTGGAGCCTGGGCTGGGCGGAGGGCCGGACCACCTGCTCCTTTCTTGGGACTGGGGCTCTGTGTGGTCACCCAGATGGACATGACAGTGCTCTCAGTGCCCCGGCAGCCAGCCCTGTGATGACCACGCCCAGGCGCCACCTTGGAAGAGCCTTGGCCAAGCTGTGACCAGGACCGCACACGGGGCCACAGGGCCACTCTTGGGCCCACCTTGGCCTCCTACCACCCCCACCCCCTGCCTGTCTCCCGGGCGTGGCCTCTCAAGCTGCTGCCGCTGGCGAATGATGGATCTAGGGCACCATGTAGGGCACGGATCAGTCCGGCTGGTGGCTCGTGAGGGCAGGAACTTCACTGTCCCCTTGGGGAGCCTTTCACGGGCCACGAGAGTCCCTCACTCTCCAGTTCCCATATTCTCCCATGATTCCAGACCCTTGGTGCCCCCAATGCCCTGAACCCTCTCCCTCCAAGGTCTGTTAATTTCTCAATCGAACCCCCCAAACCCAAACTCACTGCCATCGAGTCCAGGCCGACTCACAGCGATTAGTGGTGACCTCTGTGGGTAGTGGCCCAACGACTGGTGCATCCCAAGACACCAGTCCCTTAAAGAGCACCCCGCTGTTGCTTCACCCCGCGCCAGCTGCAGCTCACCTGTAAAAAGCTGTGTTGACTCTCTTTGTGCTTGGGAAGCCCAGCATCCCGCAGACCACGTGGCTGTTGTGGTTGCTCCAGCCTTTGTCACACACTTGTGCCCAGCCTTCCGGGAGCCGAACTTCGACCAGGCCCTCCATCACGGGCAGGGGTCGCCTGCCCCGGCCAACAACGGGTCGGAGCCGTACCTCCTCCACCTGCAGTTGATGCTCCACCTGGGATGAGACCACAGCAGGGGCGTCGGGAACTCAGGGCTGGTTTGCTAACCTTGTCTGGGGCGCGGAGGGACACGCTGTGCTCCAAGAAATGTGCGGGAGGAGCTGAGGAAGGAGGGGCCCCATTTCAGACACCATTAATGTTGGAGGCTAGTAGTTATGCGTGGGGCTGTTAGCCACAGGGCAGCAGTGGAAAGCAGCAGCCGCTCTGCGGGGGAAAGATGAGGCTAACTGAGAAGCCGCAAAGTCCGCATGGAAGAAGCACACCAGCCTGTGTGATCAAGAGGTGTCAGCTATCAGGCATCAGAGACCCAGAATTTTAAAAAATCATGTCAATGTGAATGAGGGGGAGTACGGAGTGGAGACCCAAAGCCCATCTGTAGACAACTGGACATCCCTTTATGGAAGAGTCACAAGGAAGAGGCGAGCCAGTCGGGGTGCAGTATAGCATGATGAAACAGGTAACTTTCCTCTAGTTCTTTAATGCTTCTCCTGTGGGGGGGGCAGGGGGAGGCGCTACCCCTCCTCCCCCACTATCATGACCTCAATCCTACCTTACAAATCTGGCAAGACCAGGGCATGTACACGAGTACAGATAAGAGCTAGAAACACGGGGAATCCAGGACAGATGACCCCCTTAGGACCAATAATGAGAGTAGTAATACCAGGAGGGGAAAAGGGAGGTGGGGGGAGAAAGGGGGAATCGATCACAATGATCTACATATAACCCCCTCCCAGGGGAACGGACCACAGAAAAGTGGGTGAAGGGAGACATCAGTCAGTGTAAGACATGAAAAAAAAAAATTGTAAATTATCAAGAGTTCATGAGGGAGGGATGGAGGGTGGGGGAGGGGAAACAACAAGGAGCTGACAGCAAGCGCTCAAGTAGAAAGAACATGTTTTGAGAATGAAGGTGGCAACAAATGTACAAGTGTGCTTGACACAATGGATGGATGGATGGATGGATGGATTGTGATAAGAGCTGTACAAGCCCCCAATAAAATGATTAAAAAAACGAGAGAGAGAGTGCGTTACAGTGTTGGAAACCCACAGGGGGAGTTCTACCTGTCCTGTACAATCACTGTGAGTCGATGCCTCCGACTCACTGGCAGTGCATTTTTTTGGTTGTTTTGTTTTTGGTTAACTCTGCTTGCACTTATCGCCAGCAAGTGGACTGATGTCCGCCCACAGCTACCCTACAGGACAGGCCCACTGCCCATCCTTCTCTTTCTCCCGTGGAGCAGCTGGTGGCTGGGGGTCCCAACTGCTGCCTTTGTGATTAGTGGCCAACGTATAAGCAAACACACCACTGCCAGGGCTGGTGTGAGTCAGACGGGCTCCATGGCAGCGAGTGTAGCTCTGCTTGACACCAGGGGCACCTCTCAGAGAGGGGTGGTGCTTACAGGAGGCCTCGAAGGAAGAGAAGCAAGTAACCAGGGACAGCAGAGGCCAGGGGAAGATCAGAATGCTCCAGGGTGACCAGGGACGAAGCCAGACAAGTTCCTGAGAAATTTAATGCTAAATCTTGAAACGCTAATGCTAAACTTGGCCTTTATAGCACCCAAGACCTCTATCCTTTGGGACCTCTTCCCAGCCGCCCATCCACCCAAATTATCCCCTGGGGGATACGGAATGTCTTCTCTTCTAGGAGCTCCCCTAACCATATGGAGGCGCCCCCGCCCTCCCTGGGAGGTGTGTGTTTGTGTGTGTGAACCACAGACCTCGATGACATTGGAGTCTGAGAAGCCAGGGAGGCGCTGCTCCTTGCAGATGACCCCCGCGTCCTCGTCGTGGGTACAGTCACTGTTCCCCCAGCCCCGGGAGGTGCACTCGCTCACGCTCTGCTCCGTCCCACGGCAGCTGATGTTGTCCAGCCAGATGCGGCCTTTGGAGGTGGAGATGAAGGGAGAGAGAGTTGGAGAGGTAGAATGGGGATGGGTGGGTGGGTGGGTATCGACTTTGGGGGGCTGTTGAGCCTTGAGGTGTCACATCTGGCCAGAAGGAGTCGAGAAGGGGTCAGGAGTGGGAGGGGGCATGGGAGGGATGGAGGGAAGCCACGGAGGGTTGGCAGGACTGCTGTCCGTGTATTTTAGAAAGCGAGAGGCCGCATGGATGCTGTGATTCATTCTTATTCTCGGGTGGTATAGCTACAAGGCACCAAGCACTGTTGTGGACCAGGCATTTGGCAGGCTCTGTACCCACACGACCATCTTGGAACAGCCCTGCCAGGAAGATATTGCCACAGGTTGGTGTCAAGAAAAGGGGCTTCAGAGAAGCTGAGCAAGGAACATAAGCACACGCCGCCACACAGCTGCGTGTGTTTGGGGGGTTTAGGACCTGGAGCCGTCTGCGAGACTGGGAAAGCAAGGGTGGCTTCACGTCAGCCGCACAGGGCCCTACAGAGCTGCCCTGCCGGGACGGCCATGACATCTTCTGCCTGAACCAGCTTGAAGGTCATTAGCTTCTTCTCAGAACCGCAGCGGTCTTCTGCCAAGGTGCAGGGACCCTTCCCGTAAGACACAACGGGGCTTTTCCTGTTTCTGCTGGCCACTTACCTGCAGGCGGTCCTGGTAACCACCAGAAAGTGCTTGTGACTCTCTCTGACTTTCCCCTGAAAGGTCTGAGTCAGACCTTTGAGGCTGTCCAGAACCAGCTCTCAGTCACATGGCCTCCCCAAGTAAAGGCAACCACCAAGGAAGTCATTTCTAAGGCTTTCCCCGCCCCTTTCCCACAGATCAAACATCTCTGGTTTCTCCAGTTATTCCTCTGACATGGGGTGGCTCTCCTCCCAAGCATTTTCATTTTCTAGTAGTGTCTTTTTAAGATGTGCTATGACCAGATACTTGTATGAGCAGTGGGGGATGGGGGTGGGGTGGGAGTTCAATTTCATCCTGCACCAACTTCTGTCTGAGCAATTCTGCCTGGGAGAACTTCCAGGTGTCCGTCAAAATTGTTCTTAAATCACCCCCCCCCCCCAATTTCTCCTAAGCAGCATACTTAGCCTTTCTCAGTTCTGGCTTGTGGGTTTCAGCTCTGGCTTGTAATTTGGTTTTGTTAGCTGCTCTATGTGGGTACCCTTCTGCCTTCGGGACATCTGGACACCATTTACCTGCTCTTAGCCTCTCAGGGGACAAGCTGTGCTTAACTCCCTTTGTGCATGGCTTTGTAGAATCCTATTTGTGCAGAAGAAAAAACCCTACAGAGCATCGGTCATTTTTGCCCATGGGGCCTCTGGCACTCCTAGAACCTGGGGAGCAGGGTGACTGTGTTGGCCAGGGACAGCCCCCACCCCTCCACCCCCCTCCGTGGTAGATTTTCTTAGTCTTGGTGTCCTGTGTCCCTATGGTTGGGCCAGCCTAGTGCCGAGCAGGCGCTTCCTGGAGATGGCTCACCTGTTCCAGGGCCGTGTTTGGCACTGTGGGTCCAGCCTGTGGCCTCTGTGAAGCCCAGCTCCCGGCAGAGGACGTGGGCAGCCTGCAGCGTGAAGTCATCATCACAAATGGTGCCCCATTCGCCAGCACGCTGGATCTCCACTCGGCCCTCATAGGGCTTCCTGGGGAAGCCGGCCAGCCGGAACCGGAGCCCCTGACTTCCGTTCCTCTTCTCCGGGCCCGTGGGCGGGGATGGAGACCCCAGGCACAAGCTCCACAGCAGGCACAGCTGCAGCCCCCACAGGCTCCACTGCCAACCACTGGCAGGTTGCATGACAACAAAGGCTTGGGTGCCCCGGAGAAAGAGTATTTGTGAGAGAAACTGAGGGAGGCCTAGAGTCTGAGAGGCATGTGATGATATGACACTGAGGAAGACAAGAGACAGGGAGAGAGAAAGATACTGAATCAGGGCGGCAGACATACAAAGTCAAAGAGCCAAGGACTGAGAGACCCAGGCCCAGACTGGGGAGAGGGTCACAAGCGGGAGGGGGGGGGGGAGAGGGATCCAGATATCCTTGCCCCCATGGTAAAACCCTCTGAAAACCCTCACAATCAGTTGTCTCTTCCCACCATGTCCTTACCCAGTTCTGTCATCACCACCTCCAATACCCCTACTCTCTGGCCTGACAGACTGAGAGCTGATAGGAAGACAGAGGGCAGACCAGGAGTCAGCGCATGGTCAAAATAAAGAGCCTCAGAGCCTCAGCCTGAGCTCCTGGAGTCCCACAGCAAGCAAGACCCAGACAGACAGGATGTCGGAGGAAGGGAGAGTGTGGGAATGGAAGGGAAACGAACAGAAGGAGACTATGGGGGAGTGAGACACCCTGAAGGTGGACCGAAGCTGAACGGGAGGGTGCCAGGCACACAGAATTAGGGAAGGAGAGAGAAGGATGCAGGCGGGCCACGAGGAAGAGGGAGAGGGATGGACGGGAGGACGGAGCAGGCAGGCAGGCGTAGGAGGTACCCAGATGACCCCATTCAGCCAGTCGGAGAGTGCTACCGATTGTATTGAGAAACAGGCGACAGGGATCCAGGAGACCTCAGCCTCCCTGACTCGGAAGTGGGGAAAGCCCACCCAAGACCACACTGTGAACCCCCAGCACACCCTCCCCACTACTGAATGGCCAAGAGGGGAGTGCCAGGCCTCTAGCTGGGCAGGAGATGGGGTGGGGTTGCTGGAGCTCCCAGCCACCGCCTTTGCTGTCACAGCGCAACCAGAGGCCAGGGCTCTGTTCGACCTGAAGCCAAGGCCTGGGCTGACAACAGTCCCTCCACAGTGAGCGAATCCCTGGAGCATGCTACCCGACCCCCCAGATAAACAACTCAACCAGACATCTTTGTTCGGGGGATATTTTGGCTAAAGGTCTCCCAGAGAAGCCCCCCGCCACAGGGTCCTCTCTGGAACATTCTGCACCCCCATCTACCTCCTTTCTGCACTCTGCTAGGGACTCACTCCTTCTGGACAATCGGAAAACCCTCAGTTGGTTGGCTTCCTCTCGACTCCATCCTTTTCCCCTGGTCCCCCCACCATCCTCTCCAACCCCAATCCCCGGCGGGTCTTCTGGTGCGGCAGTGCCTGACTCTCCCTACCTTCAGCCGAGGCCGACCCTAGGGGTTGGGTGAAGCGTCTTGGTCCGGGAGATCAGAACTAGGATTTCCCAAAAAAAAAAAAAAAAAAAAAGTGCTCGGCCAGGGGAGACCAGACCCCCCCACTCCTTGCTCGCTCCTCCTCCGCCCCCTAGAGCCCTCCCACATTCCGCCTTCTCCCTGGATTCCACCCTCGCCAGTTCCCTCCATTTCTCTTCGCCGTCCTCGTCTTCCCCTCCCTGCTGGAACTGGCCGCAGCCGGGCCACCTCCCTCTACGGCCTCCCGCCCTCTCAATGAAGCTTTCTTTGCCCGCAGGTTGGAGGCTGGGCAGCTGCGGCCGGGGAGCTGGACATGCAAGAGGCCGCGGGGCCTCCTACAGGCCGGGGCGGCGGTCCCTGGGGTTCCGGGAAGCCTTCCAGACCCGGCCCTTCCCCCACGTCCCCGGCTGGGCCGTGTCAACAGACCCACTCCGGCCGGCCTGGGCGGGCCCAGCTGGAGGGACGCGGCCACGCGCTCCCCTGGGACCCCTTCCGGGCCCCAGGGTGTCTGCAAGCACTTTCGGGGTGATGTCACGGGCCTTCACTCTGATGTCACGCTTGGCATATGACGTCACTCTCAGTTTCCCCTGGCCCAGGTGCCGGGCGCTTTGGCTGACACCTGAGGCTTTCTCGCGGCGGAGCCTCCCGTGTGCTCTCCCGACGGCCGGGGCTCAGGCCACCCGTTTCACTGGGGGACTCCCCTTTGGGGGTTTTCCTTCACCCCCC